AACCCCTGAGTTTGCTGGTGGATTCTGAAGGGAGGGCAGTCTTAAGGAGCGCTGTGGCCTTGACTTGTGAAGTTTGGCCTAACTCCAGGTAGTGTCAGAACGACTCCAGGCCTCCATGTCTTCCCACACCCTACCCCTGAAGCCTGCTTCCAGCTGGCCTAGCAGCCAGAGGCTGTAAAAATAGAAATCTGCTTTCTGTTGTCATCTCTCAGGTTCTTAGGGATATGGCATGTCCCCAGACTTATCTGGGGATTGAGAAGCTGGTTAAGGAACAGAGTGGCAGTGGTTTTGTTTCAATTTCTCATTGTGTCTAAACATATCCCTGGTCCAAGTGAGTGGACTCAGGAATGAAGGGAAATTGCACTTCTCTGTGTAACTGTTCTTGACTGATTTTAATCACTGTGCTAATGTGTGTGAGGAGAGTGAAAGCAGAAGGAAAGTAAGTAGTGTACCCCTTCTGAATAGTGCAGGACAACTGCAGAAACTGTGCTGGTTTTCATGATTCTGCAGAAGTTCAGGTCAACTACTAATCCCAGAGCCTTGATTATTTAAATCCTGATTCAATTACAGAATAGTCTGTCTCAGACTTTGAAGAATTTGGCAGTAGACTTACATTTTCTGGTTGCTCCCTAGAACAGAGAGCTCTCCTTGAGTCCCACTTCCGACTCATTTTCTGAGAGGAGGAAAGAGTAAGAAATGGCAAAGAGAACAAGGATGGGAAGATGAGTATTATTCAGCATCATGGAACATATTACTATAGAATTCTTTCTGGATTCCTGTGTAGCCTCCAGGAACTGCCCTAGGAAAAAGTGAAAGGCAGAGAGCAAGAAGGAACATCAAATAACAAAATTTGGAATTTTTTAATGTCAAAAGATACTTTTTCAGAGATATTTTCCCTTACAAATATTGCTAAATTATGAATGCCACTCACTTATAAGTAAAAAGAACTGAAATCCACTTAAGTGAAGTCACTTTCCCAAGACCGCAAAATGAGACAGACACAGAAGTTAGAGAGAACCCTGCATCCTGAGTCACTCTCTAGCCCTCGCTGCATCATCACTGGTGGCTCACACTGAAGGCATCTGAGTCATCTCTGTGGATTCTACTTCTATAACACCCTAGAGTCTGTTTCCTACTTCCTTCCCCATCACCATGCCAGGGCTTTGTGACCTCTTGCCTGGACTTTGGCAACAGCCTCTAATCTGTTCATTAGCCAAGTTGCCTGCACACTCATCTGTCCCCATCACCACTCCAAGGTTAACCTTACCAACACATGATCTATGGAAGCACATCTACTTAATAAATATTAATTATTTCCTGCTATCTAATTTATTAAATGTTTAGAAAATCTTTAGCCTGCCAAAGCATCAGCAGTGTGTCCTGCACTCTAGACTAAACCACCATATGTTGCCAGATGCCCTGAATGCCTCTGCCTCCATACCTCTGCTTCTGTGCCTTCCCTGGAAAGCACATAGCTAAATGTCCATTTGTCCAAGCTTCTCAGTGGATAAAATTCAAAAGCTATTCCAAATGTGAACCTTTTCTCATTCCTCCCACTTTGAAATTCTGTAGCTCTTTATCAGATTTTATTTTGAACTATGGATATGTATATGCATATATTAGCTCTATTCGACTGAGTTTATGGAGGATGATGGCTTGTGTCTTTGTTTACCTTTCAGTTCCCAGAGCTATGCATAGTAGAGACATGTAGTAAATACTCCATGAATGCTTTTGGAAGGAAGGAATTCTTGCTATAAGAATACACTCTGCTACAATGTCCAATCATTATTATGTAGTGTACAATAACACTGTCACTGTATAATACTACATAACAACTTGTCCAGTCTGATAGGTCAATACATATAGAGCAGCTTTCCATAAGATTATGTCAATTAGTGATGTATTAGCCATCATAATATCATGAGCAACACGTTACATACGTCTGTGGTGGTGTTATTGTAAAGAAACTCAGATTAATGTGTGTGTTTGTTTCTTAACTTTTATCAAAAATATTTTAAATGAAATTAAAAATAGAAAAAGTTTATAGAATAAGGGTATTTAAAGTATTTTTCTACTGCTATACAATGTGTTTAATAAGCTGATTATTAAGTCTAAAAATTGTTTTTAAAATAAAATGATGTAAGATAAGATCAATTTATTTATTGAAGAATTTTTTTTCTTTTATAAATTTAGTGCAGCCTTAGTGTGTGGTGTTTGTAAGATCTACAGCCCTAGGCTTTCGCATTCACTTACCACTGACTCACCCACAGCAACTTCTAGTCCTGAAAGCTTCATTCACAGTTAATGCCTATTATGGTCTAGGTGTCCCCCGAAAGCCACATGCCCTCATAGGTAGAACTTTTGGGAGGTGACTGGATCATGGGTGTGTGATATTAGTCAGCTGATTGGTTTAGCATAGTTCTCAGGGTGAATGACAGATTTACTAAAGAGAGAAGACCCATTTTGGGTGTGTGGCACCAAACAATAGGTATCTGGCCTGAATGGAATAAAAAACAAAAGAAGGAGGTCTGCTGCTTCCTGCGGCCACACCTTGCCATGGACTGTTTGTCTTGTGCTATGGCCACATGACAGAGCCAGCTGGCTATGGACTGATACCAGCACAAACTGTGAGCTAAAATAAACTTTTTCTCTTTAACTTGTGGGTGTCGGGTATTTTGTCCCAGCAATGAGAAAAGTAAGTAAGACAGTATCCTATATCATTGTGTTTCAATTTTTAAATCCTTTTAACTATATTTTCATTATACCTTTTCTATGTTTAAATACAATGAAATACCAAAATTTTGCCTACAATATTCCTCCTACAAATATAACTAACATGCTGAACAGGCCTAGGAACACATACCATGCCATATAGTCTCCATGTATAGCAGGCTACACCAACCAGGTTTGTGTAAGTATACAATGATGTTAGCACAACAATAATACGTTTCTCAGAATGTATCCTTGACATTAAGCAACTCATGACTGACTTAATAGTTTATGCTGTGATGATTGATCTTAGCTGTCAGCCTGACTAGATTAAGAGACACCTAGAAAATTGGTAAAGCCCACTTCTAGGTAATACATGAGGGTGTCTTTAAGACAATCTGCATGTGGGTAAGCAAACAGAAAGAAAGACCTGCCCTGAATGTGGTGGCACCATCCAACAGACTGACGACCCAAATATAACAAAAAGCAGAAGGAAGATTGTATTCTCATGCGCACTAGACCCTTTTTGTACAGGTGCTTTTTTTTTTTTTTTTTCTGCTGCCGTCATCTTGAACATCAGACTCCAGGTACTTTAGCTTTTGGATGTGGACCTATTCTCCAGGGAGTTTCCAGGCCATCAGCCTCAGATGGGGGGCTGAATTTTTAATCTACCTTGTTCTGAGGCTTCCAACTTCTTAGACTGCAGATAGTTATTGTGGGGCTATTTAGCCTCCAATAGCCTAAGCCAATCTAATAAATCTCTCTTAGAATTATATGTACATTCTATTGGTTTTGATCCTCTGAAGAATCTTAATGAATAGAAGTAATTTTCTTTGGTTTGCAAAATCTTTTACAATAGAAATTTCATCTTCTCTAGAAAATATCTACATATTATGCTCATACTCCATTGCTGAAGTAATGTTAGACAGAATTAACTGCCAAAGCTAGGCAACCGGCAATAAATGCAGTAAAACAAAATCACTGATCCCTTTCTCTAATGTGGTTGCTAAATAAATATTGAAAGTATTAAGAGAGTCGTCCAAAGCCTCCTGAAATGCTTATGAATACATAGAACTTATTATAAGGTAATAAAGCTTATTAGATTGTCAGTAACCTGTCAGTGCACACGGTGTTAAGACCACACATAACCAGTCACACTGACCTACCTTTTACTGGTAATTAAGTGCACACTAGGGATTGTTAACAGAATGTGTTTTTTGTTTAAGATTTTTTAAATCAAGGAAAAATAAAATGCAAATTCATCACATAAAAACAGATTTCTTTCATTTTTTTATCTGATTCAAAAATTTTACATGTAATGCAAATTGGTTAAACAGTTTTTTCACAAAAACCTGGTCAATGTCAGAATCTACATTTATGACTTAATAGCAGACCATGAATACCAGAATTCAACAGGAAGCTATTGCTTTAAACACAACTTTGGAGGAAGAAGCAAGTGCACAGGTATTTCAGAAGCAGATCACATAGGAATAGAAGGACTCTGCACTTCAGTTGTCAGTGGCCTGGTATATGTCCCTCGATAAACAGCAAAATGCATTCATGAGTCTGCTAGCCACATGCCAGATAGTACCCCTGGAAGGATTATTGTTCTAAATTACAATTTTAAAGTCTGTCAAATTTATTTTGTGTTTTGGGGGTACATGTGCCGATCAGGGGTACAGGATGAAAGACAGGGAAGAGGTAAACCAATATGGAAGGAAAAAAGTATACTAGAGTTTTATTACTCATTTTTTAAAAATTGTGTCACTGATTGGTAGATTCCTTTATAATGAAAGTATTTGAATTCAGCTCTTAATTGGAATTTTTTTCCGGACTGCAAAGGCTGGCAAAGATGAAATATTTAATATTAAGCAGGTCTTTCTAAATGGCTTCCCTGGTGAAACCAATAAAATGATTTCTAAAACATGTTCTGTTTGTTTTCATTTAAGCAGGTACCATCATGCCTTGCTTCCTAAACTCTTAAAACAGAAATGAACTTCATTATACAGTCAGGCTCGAGCTGCATACTGTCTCTTTCTGGAGAAGCTTGTCACCAAGTTCTTACTGAGTGCTCACGGAGGGCCTGGCTCAGAGACCAGGAATGCATATTTGCATTTGTTGTTGACAACTGCCAGCTTCGACCTCCTTCCCCTCCACAACCCCCATCTAAATGGGGTTTGTAATCCTCCTTCCCATCCACTCTCTTCACTCCCTGGGATAAGAATGCTGACTTCTGCTCTCTGTCACCTGTCAGGATCCATCCTCCTGTCACTGGCTTATATGGATAAGTCAGCCCACTGTCACGTGACCCTGGGCTGCTAAAAACAGCTCTAGCACCCGCTCCAAACCAGGGCCTGAAACAATGTCCTCCACCGAGAGAAACATAAAGGACACTTGATCATACAATCCTTGGAATTATTTCCAGGAAACACTTGCAAGAAGCCATTTGGAGCATCCTTCCCCTGGCAGTGCACTCAGGGACGGCCAGGAGATGAGTGCATCTCTGAATTACAAGTCTTTTTCCAAAGAGCAGCAGACCATGGATAACTTGGAGAAACAACTTATCTGTCCCATCTGCCTAGAGATGTTCACAAAACCAGTTGTCATTCTCCCCTGTCAGCATAACCTGTGTAGGAAATGTGCCAGTGACATTTTCCAGGTAGGTTTATTTGGAATTTGGGAAATGGAAAAGATTCCTCTTCTCTGAATCAAGTGGTCAATATTGAAGTCAATTCTTGTGGAAAACTTCGTAAGCTTGCATTTATTTTCAGTTTATTTGAATAATTTGCTTTGTGATTTGCTATCATGCTCCTCCTTACTCCCCAGTCTAGTGGTATTTTAATTCTAAGAATCACTTTTTTGTTGTTGTTGTTGTTGTTGTTACTGGGGATCAAATTCGGGTTCTTGCGCTCGCGAGGCAGGCAGCAGCACCACTGAGCTAAATCCCTGGCCCACACATTTGTTTTTAATGAAACCCAAATCATTGAATCTCTTTCAAAGTTGAAAATGAATTACTTTCCAAGTCATGAATATTGGAATTTCTGGATGGAACTTTTTAATAAAAACACTGGAGGAAAGGTACCTCATTCTGAAAGTGGTACATTGTGGATAAGGGCTAGTCCACTGTTTCAGGACCACTGGCAGTTAGGCACAAAGGGATTATCTTATGACAGGGTTAAAATGGTTCATATTGTTCATAGTCTCAGAGTGAATATAAGTCTCAGAAAAGCTCTCTGTCACATTCCTCAATTACTCTTTTCTTGCTTGGCAAGAACAGGCCTCTAACCCATACTTGCCTACAAGAGGAGGTACCACTGTGGCATCCGGGGGCCGATTCCGCTGCCCCTCCTGTAGACATGAAGTGGTTTTGGACAGACATGGTGTGTATGGACTTCAGAGAAACCTTCTGGTGGAAAACATCATCGACATCTACAAGCAGGAGTCCATCAGGTAGTTCTTCCAAATCTTTTTGCAGTGGTTCTTGTGTTTGTATATTTTAGTGAGTTGCTCCATTGTTTGTTTATCAATCACAAATTAATTATTTTATGAAAAAGTTTTTCTAAGTCAGTCTTTCTCAATGGGAGGCAAAAAGGGAGCTAATCCTTATATTTTTATTTTAAGAATGAAGTAATTCACTCAAACTAATCCATCCCAAATGGCAATGTCCTCCCCTGAAAGCCACGTACGTATTACATATGTTTTAGAAATTTTTTGACTTCATGGTTCTTTTGTGATTCCAGATCCTATACAGCAGAGAAAAATTCTAGCACAAAACTTTATAGAAAGTTAACAGAAATGGCATCTCCCAAAATAGTCCAGTACCTAATTCAGTCAGTTTTGCCTTAGAATTGTGTAGGTAATAATAAAAAACAAAATTCCCTGGCATAGTTTGTCACTGTATTGACTCTGGGAAATTCAAAGCAAGGTATAATCTGTAATCTTGCCTTTAGACATTTACAGTTTAAGAGACTTGGGAGATTTTTTTAAAAGATGGATTTCAGGTTATGTTTCTCTGTTTCCTAGATTGTATTTATTGCATACACTTAGCATTCACTTGCTGATTAATTGGGTGACTGATATGCAGTATATACATCCATTCATTAAATTTTCATTGAACCACATTGGCTGTACATTTCCTTTCCTAGAGATGACACTACAGGAATATATTCTTAGAAGACATGATGCGAAGAGCCCTTTACAATTGTTCTCAGGTCAGTCTGGTCCACAAATTTGGGAGCAACATAAATGCCATGAAGAAATGGCCCCATAATCGTTCTCACTAGGGCACTTGTATTTATGGAACATCTGCAGGGCTCTAAGAGTCTTGCGCTCTTACAAGGAAAGCTGCTCTATAAATCTAACATGCAATTATTGCAATTATTATGGCTATTAGTTTCTGCTTAAGATTCACAACTAAATTAGATAGTACCAGGATATAGATGGGATTAGGGAAGCATTGCTGATGACATACTGCAGGCACCTGTTTCCCTTGCTTCCAAAATCTCTGAACAAAAGAAAGGAAAGTACTATATCATAGATCTGATCTCATTGTGTTCACAGATTTGCTTTCCTTGTATTCACAGTACTTCACAGGTCTGATCTCATTGAATTTCATCATTTTAAAGTGGAAACACTGCACACACAGTCTCTTCAAAAATTTATCAGCCAATTAATAACCAAACAATTATTAAAAGTTTATGTGACAATTTTTTCAGTACCTGTACCTTTTACAGAACAGCTGCTCCATAGTGGCAGCTATTTAAACAACTCCATAAATATTCTTCTGTGTTCTATTTATTGCAATCATTTTGTCTCACTGTCACAGTGGGAACTTCAACCATGAAAAAATAACAATACTTGTTATGAAATCCAGAGGAGAGCTGATGTTAAAATGTGTAGCAATAGTAAAACTATACAAGACATGTTCTTACTTTAAGTATTGAATCTTTATTTTTTATTTTTGGTGCAATTGCAAAAAACAATATCCAGGGGCTGGGAAGTAAATTACGTAAAAGCAATGAACCAAATTTCCAATAATAGAGTTCATAACTAAGTGGACTAGAGTGTTTTGTGATTAGCAGATTCTTCTTATGCTTTTTCTTAAATTTGAGACTTGCCTTTGGTACATTTTTACTTGAGGGCAAAGCCACAAGTTGCCCAGAGAACTTAGCCATATGTCTGGATATAAAGCCAGTTGTCCTCTAGAGGCTGGCAGCCTTAATAGAATAGAACCTTGATCTTCAGATCATACCAGACAACCCTGTAATAACTTTGGATATACCTTGTTCAGATAGAGGGAGATGAGCTCAGCTCTATTTGTTGGAGATAACAATAGAAAAGGAAGGGATGTCAATAATAGGCTATGAGATACTGGTCAACTCTGATCTCTTGCAGAACTACTAGAGATTATAGGTCTCTACAAACCCTGCACTTATCTAGAATTCTGAATGGCAAGAGAAGGCATTAATTTTATTAACATAAATAATGAACATAACAGTAATTTAAAATATAATAAGCAAAACTATGTGATATGTGATACCACCATTCAGGGTGCTTTACAGGTGAATCATATACAATTCTTTAATTCTCACAACAATCTTCTGAGGTAGTCTTTGTTGTCTGATCTCTTCCTTGCCAATCATGAGTGCCATGTGACCCTGGGTTTTCCCATATTTCCCATGCTTTTTCCAGCTGGGCTGTGTTATGTTAGAGCATTTGGAATACTGTACATTAGGCAAATTCTCTTACTTTCTCACTCATTCATTCAACAAATACTTGAGGAAATGGAAAAACATGGAAACAAAGTGTCTATAAATAGGGAAGGGTGGAGGGGGTGAGGGGAGGGCAGGAGAATGAGGAAACAATAAGAACCAAAGATACATCAAGTAAAGAAAGGTACAAGATCCTAATGATGAATGTAACTGTATTGTATACCTAAAATGTACCAATAAACTTAATAGAAAAAAATACTTAAGGAGCCCTCCCCTTTTTGTCAGGCACTCTTCTGGGCACTGGGGAGGCAGCAAAAATTAAGACCACGGCACCTACACTCAAGGAGCTCACACTCTAATGGAGGAAACAGGCCTGTAAGGGAGAGGATCTTCCAAGTTACTGGGTTACTTTCTTTTTTGAATTCTAATCATATGGTTAAGTCAGGAGGTCATAGATTTTTTTTTTGAAAATATAGTACTACTGAACCAGACCAAAATGCCTTTTGCAAATACCAGATTACAAAATCTTGAAGCTGGAAATCCATGCAACCTCCTTACCAGACCCAATCCTTTCCCAACATTTAGTTCTCTCCATGTCAAGTACTTGACTTCTCCTAGGGACTTAAGTATATTGGCATATTCTCTGCCTTTCTCTGAGTTCTGGCAATGCAGTATGTGATACCATACATCAATATTAATGGTGTTCAAACATTTTTATTACTCACAGAAGGAAGTGTGTTTTATATTGTAATACAATGACCACTTACATATATAGATGGATACATATAGAATATGCTTTTGTTTCATATCTATGTATGCATATGTATACAAATGTATACCTGAAACATATATACAAATATATACATATGCTTATATTTGTAAATGTGCTTCTGAAACAAAAATTTTACATATGAATACTTATTATATGTAATTAACAATATTTGTTATTTTACTTTATTTTTACTTTAATAGTGCTGGTCTTGATCCCCTAAATTAATTTTATTTCACTAAAACCTATGATTTTGAAGAAACATATATCCATAACAATTGAAAAAATGTAGTCCCATATCTAAGATGCTCCTAAATAATTTCATGTTTGGTAATATGAGGAAAGCTTTTGGATTTGAATTTTAGTTTTCACAATACTTTTTAGATAGGATGTATAACAATCCCTGGGTTTTGTATAAGAAGGCTACACCAACATCTCATTCCTACCTATGGCTAATTTTAACCAGCACACAGATTTACCAGAGAAATTTTCAGGTCTCTCTAGACATACTCTTGTAAGGGGAAAAGTGTTTGCTGGGGCCAGAGGCTGGAGGGGTAGGTTGGAGTTTCTCCACTGGTGTAAAATTGAAACAATTATTAGCAACTTTCCCTTTTTTACCCATCATAAAAAGGTGTCACATGGGTGATTTGTAAGCTTATGAACATGGAACTGGAGCAGGCTCCTGACTGCTGACCAGAGCCCAGTGTTCAACTTTCAAGAGTATGACTAGCCAGATTTTAATACCTTGACTAACCATGATGGAAATACACTACAGAAAATTGATGAAGCAGTGTCTCTATGATCCAAGCCCCACCTTAAGCAACTTGTGAAAGATCTGTCCATACCCACCATTAAACTTGTAGAGAAACTGAGCTGGGAGAGTTCTGGCCACATATAAGGGCTCTGGGAGTCTTTTGGAATATTATTGGTGGGGGTTCAAGATGAGCTGGGATTTGCAAATTTCGCTCTGCCCCAATAGAAGTTAACAGGCATTTATCTGCTTTACTCTCCTCCCAGGCCAGAAAAGAAGTCTGATCAGCCCATGTGTGAGGAGCATGAAGAAGAGCGCATCAACATCTACTGTCTGAACTGCGAAGTGCCCACCTGCTCCCTGTGCAAAGTGTTTGGTGCTCACAAGGACTGCCAGGTGGCTCCACTCACTCATGTATTCCAAAGGCAGAAGGTAATGTAGCCCCTCCAGCCCTTCTGTGTCAGCCCCTTCCAGCTTCCAGTGTGGTCAGCTCCCTGTGGTCAGCTCCCTGTGGTCAGCTGTGGAAGGAAGAAGGGGCCCAAGCCACATAAGGGCCATGGGACCTTGGTAGGTGCATGTAGAGAGCCCATGAAAAGAGATGCTCTGCAGTTGGTTTTCAAGTGCCACCATGTTAGATTTCCTGCAGGGAGATAGAGAAGGCCAGAGAGGCCCAGGGCACCACAGTTTAGGAAGAGATGCAGAAGGATAGGATCACAGTTTGTGATTGCTGAAGATAAGCAGTTTTAAGGGGCAGAGGCCAATCTCAAACTACTCAAGATTAAGTGAAGTTTAGATTGTAGATAAGAACAGGGTGGTTTTTGTTTTTCTGTAGCCACAGAATTCTTTTCATCAATGAAGTTTCCTTTTGCTCATTTTTCTCCACCTCTTTGTGGGTGAGAGTTATAATAATGACATGCAATCACAGAACAGTTCTGAAACTTCTTCTCCTACTACCTTTTGTAGTCTGGTCCTGCTGCTAAAAGGCATTCTTTATGTATGGTGTATGTTCCCCACCCCAGAAATTTACAGTCCCCTTCTAACCAAATATAGCCTCTACATAATCTGGTTTCATGCAGGAGCAACTCAAAACTTAGCTGTTTGGTTCAGATAAAGGTGGGGCTGGTGAGCCAATAGTTGCAACCATTTCTGATATAAGAATTTGAGCAGCTCCATTTCTCATTTTCTTTCAATCATTCATCAATTCCACATTACACTGCTGTTTTACTGAGCAGGTCAGCTTTGAAAGAAAATTTATTCTCTCTTCTCCTCCTTTCCCCTACCCTCCAAATCCTAGAATGTTAGAACTGGATGGTACCTGTTTCACAATACAGTAAAACCTCAGTTCAAACTCAATTTGTTACAAATGCATTGTGAACACCAAAATGTTTGAGAACATGTTTTTTCCCCATAAGAAATAATGAATGGCCAGGGATGTAGCTCAGTGGCACCAGGCCTACCTGGCAAGTGAAAAGTGCTGAGTTTGAGTCCCAGTACGGAGGAGGAGGAGGAGGAGGAGGAGGAGGAGAAGGAGGAAGAAGAAGAAATGGAAAACTAAATAATTATTCCAAATAAACATTGCACTTATAAATTCATTTTCTAACCCCTAAACATCTAAACACAATAAGTTTTAGCCTAAAGGATCACCCGTTTGCATCCACAGCAAGATGCAATGCGTGACTTGTTCTTGGGCAGCACAGGTTTTTTCAAGTCAGATTTTCAGTTTGACTGTCTAGCAAAGTTACAGAGACCGAGAAGATTTTTTCCAAACCCTGCTGTTTGAGTAGTGTAAAGTTTGAGCTTTACACTGTTTGACAACATAGGTATCCTGCATGTACTTCACTCAGGGCCCTGGTGACTCGTGGGATGGACAGATGGACAGAACTTGGGGCTCCCTAGTGAATCCTGTTTGGCCAAAGCAGCTTCTTTTCTACCTAATAGGATTCCTTATTAGCTTCTATTTGATGATAGGATTCTGCAGTTTTGAAATATTTTACAACTGCTGTTTTCTTTCAGTTGTTTATTCCTTTAAATATGAGATAATTAGGGCCAACCTGATGACATATTTTGCCCATTATCATAGAGAAGTTAAGGACAGAATTGAACCAAGCATGTATATTTATTAAGTTCCCATTTATTGTTCCCTGTGGCTCAATAGCTGGCCTTACAAAGAGAGAAAATATAAAGAAAATATCTTGGGTCAAAAAGCACAAGAATTTCAAAGTCTCATTTTATACCTTCAAGTTTGTAGTGACTTAGTCAAATGAGTATTTGTATGCACATATATATTCTTAGCATAATAGGCCTGTGATAAACATATGCCAAATACGTTAGTATTTAGTACAGACACTTCCCAAGTTTAACTGTTCCTGAGCTACAAATAATTAATTTTGGGTACCTGAAGTCACATATGAGACTCCATTCTACTTATTAACAACATTTAGAATTCTTTACCTTGAATATACTATCCTCAATGGCCCATAATTTAATGTTTTCAGTGTTTTTAACAGAGTCACAGTCTCCAATAAAAATATGATGAAAGCCATAAAACCTCTTCCTACACAAATATATCCCTATGCAAAATTTTGTTTGCAATATCAGGAGTTTCACAGATTTCCCAAGCCTCTCCATTATTGCTTAGGGATTGCATGGACCTTAAATGAGGAGCCCTGTGAAGACAATACTATGATTAATCCACAGTCACTGGTGACTAGAAAACCCATGAGGTTTTATGTCTTTCTTTTCTCTTCATCAGTCAGAGCTCAGTGATGGCATCGCTGTCCTTGTGGGAAGCAACGATCGAGTCCAGGGAATGATCAGTCAACTGGAGGACACTTGTAAGACTATTGAGGTAAATCAGGTGACTCCTAGGGAGTATGAACCATGCCTGCAACTTCTGGGGGTTTGTGACTTCCTTGGCTCCACACTAGAAATTTCCATCCTGAGATTTTGTTCCTTTCTTATAGAATGATCTCCTTTCTGATATGTCTCTGAAATATTCACACCCGGGCCCAATCATATAAAAAAAAAAACCTTATCACATGTGTTGATGAGGCTAAATCTCCCCAAGTTATTATTGTATAGGTTGTTCTTCAATGATCAACTCTCCCTACCATGGTACTAAGTCTCTCTACTATGAGCTACAGCCTCAGTCCTTATTTTTTATTTTGAGATATAGTCTCACTAAGTTATCCAGGTGGGACTCAAATTTATGATCCTCTTATTTCAGCCTCCTTCAGTGCTAAGATTACAGGTGTGCATCACCATGGTCAGCTCTGTCAACTCCATTTGAAAGATTAGTAATAAGAAAAAATCAATTCCCAGTAATAAAAATAAGTCTTATTGCCATTATAGCAAACTTTCTTGATAGAAATCCAGATGGTCTCAAGAAATGCTAGGTAGTGTTTTAAAAAGTCATGTGTAAGATTGAACTGCATGCTTCACCATGGCCAGGGGGAGGAGAAAGATCTGCCCAACTGGGGTTAGAGAATAGTTCAATAGTTAGGAGCTCATGGAGGTCAGAGTTCAGATTCATTGTTCTCTATTTTCCCTCTGTCTGGTTCAGTGCTTGGCACACAATATTCATTTAAAACTTGCTGAGTGAATGGCTGAATGGCTGGCAGCTGAACTTGGCATGTAAAAATCTAACAAATCTGCTTTTCCCTCAAGATCCAATATATAACATGTGATCAAAACATACAGTGAATATTTGAAATTTTAAAATTTTTATTATGGTAAAAACATATTGCGGGCCAGAAATTTAGCTTAGTGACACTGTGCCCACCTCGCAAACGAAAGGTCTTCAGTTCCATCCCTGGTACCACACACACACACACACAAAAACATATTGCCATGAATCCCCTTTAAAATATTTCCCCTCACTTCAAACACACTATCCCATTTTTATTGCTACTTTCTGAAGCACTTCCAAAAATTCTCTTTCATAAAGTGTCTTTGCAAGATGCTATCAAAAATATGGTGAATGCTGCTTTTGAGGGCCAGCCAGTGGAAAAGCAGGCTCACAAAACTATTAGTGTGTCCTCATCCACCTTATTCATAGATCTGGAGCTGTTCAACTCCTGACTCTTCCACAAAGCCATAATTACTTCAGTTAAGGACATTGAGGCTCCATGACAACAAAAGATGCATTATTCATCTTCCCCTCACTATAATGAAATATTTGACATGGGCTACTTATGAAATAAAGAGAGATCTATTTTGGTTCATAGTTCTGGAGGTCCCAGTCCAAAACTGAGCAACCCGTTGTTTTGGATATCTGACAAGGGCAGCACATGAGGGTGGGAGCAAGTATCAGATTGAATGTTCAGAAAGGCAAGGGAGAGGGATGCAGGGAGGGAATCTGCAATTGTGTGACCCTTCAAAGGCACACCTGGAATGACCTAAGAAACTCCCATAAGGCCCCACCTCATAAAGGTCCATGGCACCTCTCAATAGTGCCACCTTGGAGAGGTACTAAGCTCTACATATGGACCTTTGGAGGACATTCATCTAAACATAGCATCTAAAGAGGTTCAACTGCATAGCAGATTTCTTTTTACAAATTGATTCACAGACAAATTAAAGCCACGCTGCATAGTGTGGACAGTATAAGAGATCAGAGTCAGATGTCTGGCTCCATATTCTGGAGCAGTCTATTACTATTTCCCTTCTTTAACCTAGGGATCATGTGTTGTTTTCAGTCAGACTTCAGTGCAGTGCATTGAGGAATTAAACTGCCTAGTTCCTGGCACATTGTTTTCATGGCTGTGTGCAAGGACTCCCTCATCTTCATTTCATTTTATCTCCACTTCCCACTACTGTTCTCCTCCCCATGGATAACCACTCCAACACTTTGATGTTCAGTTTGCCTGTATCTCATAGTGTATATAGTTTTAAATGCATGTCTGTTAATTTTATAAATGGTATTGCATTGTATTTCTCATTCTACTTCTTGTTTCAACTAAGAATTATATATTTAAGATCTACTTATATTATTGCAAACACAGTCCCTCAGTTTTCTTATCTGTAAGAAAGGAGATAATCACAGTACTCACTTTATAGAGTCACTGTGAGAAATTAAATTCAAATAAGCAAAATGCTTAGCACAGTGCCGGGCATGTAGTGAATGTCTGATAAATTCTAGCTATTCTTATTATTTTATCATTAGAAAGGCAGGTCGTATTAAAAGCCAAAGGCCATTTCCTAGACAATGTCTTCAAGACATTTGCTATAATTACCTCATTTTAGATTTACACATCATTAAAAATCAATCTCGTTTCTTTGCACACTCATTTTCCCTAAAAGATCTAAGATAAATCTGGGGTTCATTTATAGAAAGAACATTTTCTGTTGGTGATAAGCCCAGAGAGATTCACAAATGGACAGTATAAACATTTTTCCTTGTCTTTGTTTACAGTAAAGGCCAAATACAGTCAAATCATTGGCCATGAATCAGCACTCCAGTGTGGGGCCACACTGAGTCTGGAGTATATAAATAGGAGCCCATTGCTCGTGAGCGAATGAGGTCATCTCTATACACATCTCTGGGCTGGTGTGGCCTTTATCAGAGACCTCTGTGGGGAGGAACTGGCTTCTGTCTGGGATGGAGACACTGGAGAACACATACAGTGCAAAACCCCCACGAGTCACATTGGAGCTTTGAGCAAAGGCAAACAACTCAACTCTTTCTTCTTTTAGCCAGGATCAAAGGGTACCAGGATGGGGAGAGATGTGACAACAGGTTTCCTTCAGAGGCCAGACAGGGGCACAATGGCAAGCAGCTGTTTCTAATTATACTGAGACTGAGACAAGAAGAAACACATTTGAAGTGAATTCAGCAGAAGGGATTTAGGGAAGATATCAGGGAAAACTTCTTGGTAGCAAAGGTCAAAATCAGTTCCTCATGTTTCCAGTCGCGACATCCCCTGAATGTGACACGCTTTTACAAGTATTTTCACAGATTATTAGAGGAAAGTGAGTAATCAATTGCTCCTTGCACATCTTGAAGATGGTAGGAGTCTTTAAAAGTATTTCTCCCTTTCACCTATTTATTTCACTTCTGAGATTTTACCTTAGTGAAAAAAGATTTAAAAAGCATAGCAAGTATATATTTATATAAACTGTATAGGATTTAAACACCTCCATAGACAATCGTATAGAATATATGTATTCATATTTATCCTCTAAACATTTATGGGAGGATAAAACCAAGAAAGAAAAACACCAGAAAGTTAAGACCTTCAAATAGTGGGACTAGTGATTTTCAATGCCTTCCTCAAATATTCTTGTATTTTACTTTATTATAAACTGAGTCTGACATTTTACATAACCAATAAAGAAGAAATAGATGAATGGATATGATGTGGAAAAGTCTTCTTTGAGATCAATTTAGGTGGCTCACCTAAAGAGGTAGGGATTGCCTCAGAGTCCTGTGGAGGTTTCTAATTTTATGATTCCTGTGTCCTCTGTTGGAAGAAGCACTGAGGATAGAGACATTGACACAAATAACCACACAGTGTACCTGTAATCCCTGAGGTAATCCTCCAAAGAGCCAAGCCAACAACTGTGGGCAAAACCCAGCTTCTCTCCAGCCTGCGGGGCAAGAGGACTTGGAGCAAATGGGGTCTCTGGCTGGGAGTGGCGCGGTTCCACTTTGCACAGCACATGCTTTCGGCAGGGGATTGGGCAGACCTCCGTATCTCCTGTTTTGTCTTCGATTGTTGTTTCCCTTTCTGGTTTTGCTTTCCACCTGTCCGGAAACATTTTCTGAGAGGTCATTGGTGCTTCCTAGGGGTGGGGAGCTGCTGCTAAAGAATTCTCTGTTCTAATTGGTAAAGGACTCCTTAGGGATGGAAATGGAGTAGCCTCTTTGATGGGCAACTGTCCTTCCATAATTACCTTGCCTTTCCTCTCAGGATGCTGACATGTGCTCTGTGGTACTAGTGTTCATTCCTTGTCAGAGTCTAACTTTGTCCCTAGTCATGTAATGCCTTGCACAGTTGGTCTGGGAAAGCTCTAGCCAGAGATCAGTCCTTGGAGCATCAATCACTGAGCTGAGGGTAAATCTCACCAGGGACACCTTGTTATATTTTTAAAATAATGTATGCACTTGACACAAATCTTCAGTGGTAATAACAGCTTTGAGAGTAGTTATAGTCACAAAAGGGCAGCCTGAACTATCTTAAAGGAGGAGTGGTATTTTCCTTCTGTGGTATAGGCTAATTCTAGGTAAAGAAGCTCTGAGTCATTTTAGCCATTTAGGCTGAGAGTGGTCCAGCCTAAGGCATTTCTTGGTCTCTGGCTTGCAGATCGAGCAAGCCCAGCATGGTCTGAAAGTTACCTTGCTTTTCTGGGCCTGGAGTTTTGGGGATGGACTGAAATTGGAAAGGGGACTACTCATAGGACTGAAGTTCTCCTCAGCAACTCTCTGCTTCTGAAAAACCAAGCTTGACTTTCATTCTACCTCCCTAGAAAATTACTCTCTGTTGTCATCCTCAACAATGGCCCTCACCCTATGTTACAGGATACTCCAGATACCTCCCAAATGCAATAGGCAGACCTAGAAGTGATTGCTTTGTACAAATGCCTGTCTAGAAAAAACTGCCATGAGTTGAATAATAAATACTTGATATTTTGTCCAGATTGTGAGAATGACAACTTTAACTATCTTCCAATGATTTTGCAAGAACAAATCATTATATTTGCAAAATATTTTAGGCCAAAGTGTTTTTCTTTATCTCTGAGACATTGTCTATACAATTACAAATACGAAGTGGGAATATATAAGAATCATTTTAATAAGGACACCAGCATTTTTAAGGCATGCTTTTTAAAGAGCAGATTTCAGAGTTC